TAAAAAAATTTTATTTATTTTGAGAGAGAGAGACAGAATCCCAAGCAGGCTCTGTCGTGTCAGCACAGAGCCAGATGTGGGGCTTGATCTCACAAACCATGAGATCATGATCCGAGCCAAAACCAAGAGTCAGATGCTTAACCGACTGAGCCACCCAGGCGCTCCTTTTAAATTTTTATGAAGTCCACTTTATCCAGTTTTCCTTCTGTGGATTGTCCTTTTGTTGTCACGGGTAACCCTGGAAGTCTGTTCACTTTTTGTTTTGTTTTTATTTTTTTAATTTATTTTTTAGGTGCATTTGGGTTAAGTGAGTTGGTTAAGCATCCGACTTCAGCTCAGGTCATGATTTCTTGGGTTTGTGAGTTCGAGCCTCACATCAAGCTCTCTGCTGTCAGCATAGAGCCCTCTTCAGATCCTCTATCCTCCTCCCTCTGCCCCTCCCCAATTCACTCTTTCTCTCTCTCAATATATAAACAAACTTTAACAAAATATCATTTATTTTTTAAGGATTATTTTATCTTTTTATTTTACTTTTGCATTTTGTAAGTAGGCTCCATGCCCAACGTGCGGCTTGAAGTCATGACCTCAGGATCGAGGACTGCATGCTCCACTGACTGAGATAGGCACTCCCAAGTCTCTTCATTTTTATTTTCGGTTTATTTTTTCTCTCTGTTGTTCAGATTGATTTCCACTGCCCTGTCTTCTAGCTCAACGACTCTTTCCTCTGTCCTCCCCACACCACCATCCTCCTGTTCAGCCCTCCCACTGAGCTTTTGTACTTCATTGATTGTCTTTTTGAGTTCTAACATTTATATTTGATTTCTTTATACCTTTCATTTCTTGCTGAAGCTTTTCTCTTTCTGCCGACATTTGTATTTTTACAGTTGTTTCAAGTGTCCTTGTAATTTCCATGATGGCTGCTTTACAGTCTTTGTGAAAGCATTCCTGATCCCTGTCACCTCAGTGTTGGCATCTATTTTTATTATCATTATTTATTTATTTTGAGACAGAAAGAGAGTGCACAAGCTAGAGAAAGGCGCAGAAAGAGAGGGACACAGAGAATCTGAAGCTGGCTCCAGGCTCAGAGCCATTGGTGGAGAGCCTGACTCGGAGCTCAAACTCACGAACCATGAGATCATGACCTGAGCCAAAGTCGGACACTTACCCAGCTGCGCCACTCAGGTGCCCCTAGTATTGGCATCTATTGATCATCTTTTTTCATCCAGTTCGACGTCCTCCTTAATGTGATAAGTGATCTTTGATTGAAAACGGGACATTTTGGGGGCACCTGGATAGCTCAGTTCATTGAGCATCCAACTCTTGATTTTGGCTCTGGCTGTGATCTCATGGTTTGTGGGATCAAGCCCCAAGTCACGCTCTGTGCTGACAGCGTGGAGCCTGCTTAGGATTCTCTCTCTCCTTCTCTCTCTGCCCCTGCCCTGCTCATGCTCTCCCTCTCAAAATAAATGAACCATAAAAGAAAAAGATTAAAAAGAAGAAATCAGGGCATTATCTATGCTGTAGGATTCTGAGTCTTATTTAAACCTCTCTTAGTTGGCTTTTTCTGATGAGGAAGGGGGCAGGTGCTGCCTCATTTCTTCCAGGTGCAAGTAGAAGCCCAGCTTCCTGGCTCTGCCTGATTGGACACTGACAAAGGAGGAAGGGTCCCCCTTACTGATGAGTGGGGGATGAGAATATCAGCTCCCTACATGGTCTCGAAACACTGCTGTGGGGGGGTCTCGTCACACTGGAGATGGTGAAAGTCCTGAGTGTCCACCAGGCCCCCTTGTGTTTAGAGAACCTTCCGTTAGCCACTCTTTTAGGGTAGAATGCCGCCGAGTTCTTTGAGTTTTTCTTATCTGGGAATGTCTTGATTTCCCTTTCATTTCTGGAGGTGTCTTTTGCTGAGCGTAGGATTCTGGGTTGGCTGTTCTTTTCCTTTAGCACCTGTGACACCACCCCAGTGGGGGAGACAGAGGGGAAGCTGGGGGTGAGTCCAGTCTCCGCTGACATCATGGGCTGGGGGGACAGTGTGATCACACAGCAGGGACGGACGCTCCAGCTACCTACTCGGCCGGCTGTCACACGGCCCTGGCAGGGAGCTGGGCTCCCTGCATCACAGCCTGGGGAAGGCAGGAGTCCCGGCTCCCCAGCTGAGCACAGTTTTTTCCCTGGTGTTTGGCTGGAGTGGGCAGTCTTTGCCTATAAATTTTTTGTCTTGCTAGACTTCCACTTTCCTGGTCCTTGGCTAGAGAGAGCAAGCTTTTGGGGGGCTTTTTCTGCTGCATCTGCCTGCATTTCTTTATTCCTGACTTCTTCAGCTCCAGCAGTGGGTGAAAAGAAACCTCACAGAGCTCACCACTTCCTTGGGTCATGAGGTCTTTAGCCACTTTGCCTTCTCTCCACCTTCCAGAATCTTCTAATGCTTGTTTTGTATCTAATGTCCGGGGTTCCTGTACTTCGCAGGAGCAATAGGGAAAATGTACGGGTACTACATCCTCCTGAAAGCAGAAGTCCATGTCTTTGTTTTCTATTGGATGTAAAGCTGCAGCAGAGTCCTTCTCTATAAAGCTCTTCCCACATGTGGGGTGAATTCTCCAGAGGGAAGTCAGTTAGCCAAAAGGGATGAACATTTTTGTGACACTTAATACATGCTTATATCACTTAAAAGATTGTATCTGTTCGCACTACCTCCAGCAGTTTCTCATCTTTTAAGAGTAATGTCAGTTTCATTAAAAATTTTTTTTAATGTTTATTTATTTTCGAGAGACTGAGAGACAGAGCGTGAGCAGGGCAGGGGCGGAGAGAGAGGAAGACACAGTCGAAAGCAGGCTCCAGGCTCTGAGCTGTCAGCACAGAGCCCAATGCGGGGCTTGAACCCATGAATCGTGAAATCACGACCTGAGCTAAAGTCGGATGCTTAACCCACTGAGCCACCCAGGCTCCCCAAGTAATATTAGTTTCAAAGTGGCACTGAACATAATGTGTGCCTATTTGAGATCTTTGGTGAACCAATGGCACCCAGCCAAACTGCAGGTAGATTTTTGCCCTCAAGCTCTTCTGCTGCCTCTGCCGAAATGCCAGAGGGTGGTGGCGACGATGGACTTTGGCGAGGACCGAGAGAGAACCCCACAGGAAGACAAGGGCACGCCTGTGTGGGGCTGCATGCCGGTTCTCCTGACAATGACTCTATTCTTAGGGAATGTTTTCATATAAGAGTCTAAATATGAGAGTCATCACAAGCAATGTGATGAAATCATCTGTTATATTGTCAGCAGTGAGATGGAAATTTAGGGGGTGATGAATGGGGAAGGAATGAACAGAATATGATTTTTTTTAGGTTTATTTATTTTGAGAGAGAAAGAAAGTACTAGCAGGGGAGGGACTGAGAGAGGGAGAGAGAAAATCCCAAGGAGGCTCCGTGCTGTCAGCACCAGAGCTCAATGCGGGGCTCGAACTCACAACTTGTGAGATCATGACCCAGCAGAAACCAAGAGTTGGAGACTCAACCGACTGAGCCCCCCAGGTGCCCCACATAATAGGATTTTAATGCTGGGCGGGCACAGACATCCCTGCACCAGCTCTGTTGTGGCCGATCATGGGCCTGGGGTCAGGGGAGGTGACGTGTGTGTTTCATGCTGATCACAGACCCAGTTGCTTGTTGTCAGGGAGTAGCTGTGAACAGTTGCTGACAGCTGATTGGTACTTTCTGACTGTGTTAGGGGAGGGTCATAGATGTGGAAGATCATCAGATTATTGATGTTTGCCTTTGGGATCATTTGAATACGGTGTTACCTTAGGTGCCCTTCTTTGGCCCAGAGCGTTTGTTTATTTGGGCCACTTTGGAGCATGGCCTTGTGGCCAGTGACTTCTCCCCCTGCTCCATTATGTTGACATTTCCATCCACAAAGCATTAGTGCAGGTTGACAGGAGGGTTTAACACCTGGTCCTTGACCTCTTGAAAGGCCGGTTTCTGAAATTAGGAGCCTTGGGTGTAGGACCTTGGTCACATGCCGTAACTACGATGGGCCTCAGTTTCCTTTTCTGTGTCTCTTTACAGGGTTATTTTGAGGATTAAGTAAGTTAGTGTATATGAAATGATTCTAATATTAAAATTCCATACTCTGTAGGGGCACCAGGGTGGCTCGGTCAGTTAAGTGTCTGACTTGGTTTTGACTCGGGTCATGTTCTCATGGGTCGTGAGTTCGAGCCCCACATCGGGCTCTGTGCTGACAGCATGGAGCCTACCTGGGATTCTCTCTCTCCCTCTCTCTCTTGTCCCTCCTCCGCTCTCTCTGTCTCTCCAAAAAAATAAATAAACTTATTTATTTTCATAAAAATTTCATACTCTGTAAAAAGTAAAATAGTAGTCCAAATCATTGATCTTTTCAATTATTCCTCCCTACCTTCCTTCCTTTCTTCCTTCACTCACATATTTATCAAGTGTAAGGCACAAATGAAAGAACGGAGCCATGCTCTGTAGATCTACTCCAGGAAGAGCTAGGAAGCCAGGACTCTGTGCCAGTCATTCCTGTCCAGCACATTCCTTGGTCAGTGTATGCCTGGGGTAGATATATGCTCTCTTCTGGGGACCAGCAAGATGGTTGAGCATAGGGTTCAAAGACCTTTGAACCAAAATGAAGCTTGTCAGACCTGAGAAAGAAACACTGTTGGAATAAATGAAGTCCTGCAGATGAATAGGAAGGTGCCCAGAGAGTAAGTAACTCACGGGGCTGGACAATCTTGGTAAACTTAAGCACAAGATTTGCAGTGGACCAGGTACAGATTGTTCGAGCACGCTGGCTGTCACAGTCCTCGTCTGAATTCTCTCCCAGGAGTGGCTGCCTCTACCTCACCGTGGGGTGCTCCCTGCTGGTGTGGATTTTGCCTTCCTCATTTTGAGGAAGTGCTGTCTAGCCCCACTCTTGCTCCCAGAAAGCCTCTCTGTGGTGCAGTGGGGTGAGTGGCGGTGAGGTGCATTCTTGGTTTTGGACTTGCAGGTGGGCGCCCTCCCTCGACTGTGTGATGTGCTCCAGGTGCTTCGAGAGGAACGGGACCAGTGCCTGGAGGAACTCTCCAGAGAGAAGCCAGGAGACCCCAGTGCAGAGCAGCCAGCCCCGGGTATGTGGTCTGCGGTCTGCTTTAGTCCACTCTTGGACATGGATTGTGTCCAGTCCCACTGTGGTCAGGGAGGCTGGGCCAGGTTGGGGATGTAGAGGACTGGACTAGCCATGTTCATTCAGTTAATCAACTGGGGGACGGGCTGGAAGGGATCCTGGTGAGTGGTTGACTCACACCCAAGAAGCCATATCGACTCCACTCATCATTTCTCTGGGCTTGTGGACACAGCCTGTGTTTTCATACTGCCAACTTCTGCATAACGACTTCATCCAGGTAAGAGTTTGGTGAGAATTACTTGTCAAGGAAGGGTACCTCTTATCCATTCTCTCACCTCCTCTGACAGTTTGATGAAGGAGGTAGTCAGAGAGGTGGAGAGGGGTCAGAAAAACCTGGGGTCCAACATTGGCTCACACTCACTGGCTGTACAACCATGGACAAGTTCTTTGACCTTCTGAGCCTTGGTTTCTTGGTCTATACAATGGAGGTGATAATGTCTACTTTGGATTATAATGATAAGTGAGATAAAGTATGTTAAATACTGATGATTCTTTTTTTCTTTTTTAAAAAATAGTTTATTGTCAAGTTGGTTTCCATATAACACCCATTGCTCATCCCCACAAGTGCCCTCCTCCATGCCCATCTCCCTCTCCCCCCACCACCCCATCTGCCCTCAGTGTGTTCTCAGCATTCAAGAGTCTCTCATGGTTTGCCTCCATCCCTCTCCCCCACTATTTTTCCCCTTCTTCTCCCCCATAGTCCTCCATTAAGTTCCTCCTAATCCTCCTATACGTGCAAGCATATGGTATTTGTCCTTCTCTGACTTATTTCACTCAGCATAACACCCTCAAGTTCCATCCATGTTGCTACACATGGCCAGATTTCATTCTTTCTCATTGCCATGTAAATACTGGTGATTCTTAACTATTATTAACGTAAGCATTATTATTAGTATCAATCATTTTAAAATACCATTAATTTGATATTTATATGTTAATTTTATTTTTATTCTGTCTTTTAAGTTTCCCTCATCTAAGGATAGGGAGGGGTGTAGCATTAAGAAAAGAATCCATTATAGGTATTCAAACAAAGACTTGTGTATGCATATCTGTAGCACTACTAGTCTCAATGGCCAAGACGCAGAAACAAACCAGGCGTCCATCAACTGATGAATGGATAAAAAAAATGTGGTGCATACACGCAGTGGAACATTACTGAGTCTTAAGAAATGATGTATTGAGGGGCGCCTGGGTGGCTTAGTCGGTTAAGAGTCCGACTTTCGCTTAGGTCGTGATCTCGCGGTTCGTGGGTTCAAGCCCCGTGTCGGGCTCTGTGCTGACTGCCAGCTCAGAGCCTGGAGCCAGTTTTGGAGTCTGTATCTCCTTCTCTCTCTGACCCTCTCCTGCTCACGCTGTCTCTCTAGAAATAAATTTAAAAAATATATTAAAAAAAAAAGAAATGATGTATTGATATATGCTACAACGTGGATGAATCTTGAAGACCTGTTAAGTGAAGAAAGCCAGTTACAAAAGACCATGGATTGTATGATTCCATTTATATGAAATGTCTAGATCACCCAAATCCATATGGACAGAAATTAGATAAATAGTTGCCAGGGGCCAAGGGGAGGGAAAACGGGGGGTAACTGCTTAGCAGTTCCCTTTTGGTGGTGGAAGTATCTTAGATCTAGGCAGGGGTGAGGGCTGCATGATACTGTGAATGTGCTAAATAACACTGAATTGAACCACTTTAGAATGGGTAATGGTTAATTTTATGTTATATGGATTTTCATTTTGATTTATTTTTTAAAATTTATTTATTTTGAGAGAGAGAAAGAGTACGAGCAAGAAAGGAGCAGAAAGAGAGGGAGAGAGAGAATCCAAAGCAGGCTCCACACTGTCAGAGTAGAGCCCAATGCAGGGCTTGAACTCATGAACTGTGAGATCATGACCTGAACTGAAATCAAGAGTCAGGCACTTAACCGACTGAGCGACCCAGGCATGCCATGGGTTATGTGAATTTTTAAATATACTTTATTTTCTAGAGTGATTCACTACAAAATTGAAGAGAAAGTACAGAGTTCCCATATTCTCACTGCTCCCCACCCAAATAAACAACCTCCTCCCTCATTAACATCCTATACCAGAATGATATGCTTGTTATATAATATATTATATGTAATTATATTTTATATAATGAGCCTGCATGGACAGGACGTTATCACCCAAAGCCCGTAGTTCCCATTAGGATTCATTCTTGGTGTACATTCTGTGGGCCTTGACAAATGTATGACAGGTGTCCACCATTACAGTGTCATACAGAGTGTTTTCTGTGCCCTAAAAATGCTCTGTGCTTTCCCTCTTCGTCCCTTAACCCTTAGCAATCACTGATCTTTTTTATCGTCTCCATACTTTTGCCTTTTCTAGAGCAATGTATAGGTGGAATCCTATAGTGTGTAGCCTTTTCAGATGGCTTCCTTCACTTAGCAATATGCATTTAAGGTTTTCTCCATTGTTTTGTGTGTGTCTTGATAGCACATTTCTTCTCAGAGTAGAATACTATTGCGTTGTCTGGATGTACCACGGTGTGCCCATTCACATACTGAAGGACATGTTTGGTTGCTTCCACGTTTTGATAGTTATAAAGGAAGCCGCTATGCATGGACATAAGTGTTCAACTCACTTGGATCAATACCAAAGAGCTTGACTTCTGGCTCATATGGTAAGAGCATGTTCAGTTTTGTGAGAAACTGCCAAGCGTCTGCCAAAACGGCCGTGCAGTTTTGCTTTCTGTGAGCGACGAATGAGACTTCTTGTTTCTCCACATCCTCACCAGCATTTGGTGTTGTCAGTGTTTTCTTTTTTCTTTTTAATTGTGGTAAAATACATATAACATAAAATTTACTATCTTAATCATTTCTAAAGGTACAGTGCGGCAGGTTAAGTACATTCACCATGTCGGGCTTCCAGTCTCCAAAATGTTTCATCGTGCAAAACAGAAACTCTGTACTCATTAAAACAACTTCCTTCCTCTCCCTTCCCTTAGCTCCTGACAGCCACCATTCTACTCTCTGTTTCCATGAATTTGAGTACTCTAAGTATCAAACGTAAGTGGAATCATACAACTGTTTGTCTTTTTGCGATTGGCTTATTTCACTTAGCATAATGTCCTCAAGGTTCAACAAGGTTGTAGCCTCTAGCGGCATTTCCCCATTTTGTTTATCCATTCATTCCTGAAAGGACACTTGACTTGTTTTCATCTTTTATCTATGGCGAATAATGCTACTATGAACATGGGTGTGCAAGTATCTATCTCTTCAAGTTTCAGCTTTCAATTCTTTTTTTTTTCAATGTTTATTTATTTTGAGAGAGAGCTAAAGAGAGAGAGAGGGAGAGAGAGAGTGAACAGGGGAGGGGCAGAGAGAGAAGGAGACACAGAATCCCAAGCAGGCTCCCGGCTCTGAGCACAGAGCCTGACGCGGGGCTCGAACTCATGAACTGTGAGATCATGACCTGAACCAAAGTCGGACGCTTAACCAACTGAGCCACCCATGTGCCCCTTCTGCTTTCAGTTCTTTCACCCAGCAGTGATACTGCAAGAGTGTGTGGCAATTCTAGTTTTCATTGTCCTCGGGTCCCGCGTACTGGGTTTTCCATGGTGACCGTACTGTCTCATGTTCTCACCAGCAGTGCACATGAGATCCAATTTCTCCACATCTTCACCAACACTTGTTACCTGGCTGATTTTTGATGATAGCCATCCTAACGGGTGTGCGGTGATATCTCATCATTGTTTTGATCCGCATTTGCCTAATGATTAATGATGTGGAGCATCTTTTTAAGTGAGCGTCTGTCTTTTGTATATATTCTTTAGAGAAATGTTTATTGAAGTCCTTTGCCCATTTAAAAAAGGGTTGTGTGGCTTTTTTGCCGGTGAATTGTGGGAATTCCTTATATATTATGGGTCTTATCCCTTTATCAGTTGTATGATTTGTACATAATCTCACCCATCGTGCAGGATGCCTTTTCATTCTGTTGCTTGTGTCCTTTGATGTACAGAAGGTTTTAGGTTTGATATAGTTCAGCGCATCTAGTTTTTACTTTTGTTGTCTGTGTTTTTGATGTTGTATCCAATAAACGATTGCTAAATTTAATCTCACAAAGATTTTCCCATATGTTTTAACCTAAGATTTGGTTATAGTTTTAGCTCTTACATTTAGGACCTTGGTCCATTTTGAGTTAATTTTTGTATGTGATGTCCACCTTCTGGTTTTTTTTTTATGTTAATTTATTTTGAGAGAGTGAGCGCCCTCATGCACATGTGCCTTCTCTTGGAGGAGGGCAGAGAGAGAGAGGGAGAGGATCTCAAGTGGGCCCTGTGCTGTCCATGCAAAGCCCGACGCAGGACTGGATCTCACGGACCATGAGCTCATGACCTGGGCAGAAAGTCAAGAGTCGGACACTTCACCGACTGAGCGCCCCCAGGCGCCCTAGAACAGCAAGAACTTTAACAGGTGCTTCGTAAGCACTGCTCACCTGAAGACAGTTTCCTGTCCTTTCCTAAGCGGTTCAAGTTGGCAGCATTTGCCACCACTGGATACTGAGAGACAGGGGTAAACAGAGTGAGGAAGGGGTGTAGTGCCTTCCAAATAGGGCAAAGGGTCAGAACGCTTTTCAAGGGTGATAACTGGCAATTCATGCTGGGGCGGGAGTGTGGCTCCCTTAGGGGATTTTAGGAGCCGGCACAGATTGCACCTCAGAGTGGCACAGAAGCTGGGGTATTATCCATCAACACCACACCAGTCAGAACGTGGGCTGTTTATGGGGAAGGGGCATGGATTCCCTTGCACTTCCAGCCTGCTGAACTTGGGGGGAAAGTGGGCTCCAGTGATTGGAGAAAGGCTTCAGACAAAGGGATTCAGGGGCTAGCGTTTGAAAATGAGGCTGGGGAGGGGCACCTGGGGGGCTCAGTCGGTTAAGCATCTGACTTTGGCACAGGTCACG